TACTATAAATAAGAACTCAACACATTTTCATATACTTTCATACGGGTAATATAACTACAACTTCTAATTTAATTAAATAGGGACATAATAACAACACCTTCTTAATAAATGGGGAAAATAGCGCGTGTCGGCACCATTTCCCAATTTTCCCCAAAACTAATGGCATAACACACTCATTCCTACACAGACAGCCATTAACCCTTAGAAATGCACATGTAAACATTAACCCTTAATGTTTCTCAACCTACGGGAACATTTACCCTTAATATTGCTCAACCTACGGGAACATTACTACGGGAACATTACTACGGGAGCATTACTACGGGAACATTTCCACGGGAATATTACTACGGGAACATTTCCACGAGAATATTACTACGGAACATTAATCCTTAATATTTCTTCAACTTACGGGAACGTTACTACGGGAACGTCACTACGGGAACATTTACTACGGGAATATTACTACGGGGATGTTACTACGGAAACATTAACCCTTAATATTTATCAATATTTATCGACCTACAGGAACATTAACTCTATCGTTCAATTCCCTACATGAAATCGATCATACCCACAGTTATAGAATTGAACCCCACCCTTACCTTTGGATTGAGGACAACTCTAAACTTCCGGTTCCGGTTTGCTCTCCCGGTGACTCTTCTGCAACAACCTTCCAATTTCCTGATGGATGATTCTCTGCTCTCCATTTCTCTCAACAGCCACGTTCCTTTTTCCTCTTCTCCTCCACCTTTTTCCTAAATTTTGGTTTTCTGAGTCGTTTATCGTTCTTTTGCTCTTTCTCCCACAACTTCTCTAATAACTCCCTAATGAATAATAATAATAATAATAATAATAATAATAATAATAATAATAATAATATTACTACTAGTTATTAAATTATCATCATTATTAATTATATTATATTATTATCAAACTCAATGATTTATTAAATGGTTTCCTATATTTTAAGGACACCCACCAACGCTCTCAGACACACTCCCACATAAAGACACACCAACAATTCATAAATAATTTAATTAAAATGAACGGGCGTTACACAATTCATTGTAAATATTTTTTTTCAAACAGTTGTTTGTAATCCTTAAAGGGACCAGTTAGGTCAGAATCTTTATGAAGAGACAGTTAGTCTTTTGGTTGTTAGTCACCAGCGGTTGCTAGTGCAGTGTAATCAGTTGATTATAGTGGATTAAGTCCTTGTGTATAAGGCGAAATTAACTTGGTGGGTGGACTGGATTAGCTTGATAGTTTTCAAGTGAACTAGGATATAGTGTGTCTTTCTCTCTTGTTAGTTTATTTGCGATCTTTGTTTGAGTTTCACAAGAAGCTTTCATTTTTAAAAACCCAATTCAAACCCCCATTTCTTGTGTTTTCTCACACCTTCACTTTTGGCAAAATTTTCATAACATACAACTGTTGTGATGATAACACCTTGAAATGATAATTTATTACATGGGATCCTTGCAATAGTAAACAACGCTACTAAGCCTAATGAACTGAAATGAGGTAAGGGTCGTCTGAAGAAGAATTTTGGAGTTCCAGAACAAACATACAGTCCTACACGCAAGAGTCCGACAGAAAAAATCACTCCACAACCACAACTCTTACACCAACCTACTATTCTTCCCGAGTATGTGATAATGTCGCTTAAAATGGCTTGAACACAACTTATTATTACATTAGTTCTCTATCTGATATTTAGTAATATTATATGTTCAGCTGTGTTGATGTTCAATCACCTATACCAAGTCTTGACTCAACCAATAACCCATCCACTACCCCCGCAACTCATCCTATTTTTATGCCAACGGTCAACTTGGATTTTGAAAGTGACGTTGAAGATGACTCTGATTACGACCCGTTCATCCGTAAGAAACACTTTCTACTATTAACTATAATTTTGTATGATGTAACACTCCGACGATCTGCTCAATTTCTATCTGAACGACATTTAGGGGGAACAATATGATCACACAATTAGAAAACTGTTGTTGTATCAACATTATAGTTAGAGGTGACAATAAAATCCATTTAGATAATATCCATCCAATCCATCCAATAATTTATCCATCCAATCCATCCATAAGACAAAAAATAATTTAATGGATTTGATCCAATCCATCCACTAACTCATATGGATGGATTCAATCCATCCATCTCATTTTATAAATCCATTGGATATTATGTTGTCACTTATTAAATTAAAAATTTTTAAATTAATTTTTTGGATGGATATCCATCCATTAGAAATATGTTAATGGATGGATTGGATAGATTTTATCTTTTAATGGATGGATTGGATTGGATTTTTATTAAGAGAGTTTAGTGGATTGTTAATGGATTAATGGATTGCTTCGATCCATTCATTAACAATCCAATCCATATCCATCCAATCCATCCATTTTGCCACCCCTAATTATAGCAGAACTAGATTTTTCATGTATATATTTTTTGACATTAGCAAATATGGTGTGTCAAACTTACAATGGAATATTCAGGTGTATTGCGCGTATAACCACAGTTACTAAGTATGTATATTGTTCACCTATTACTCTACTCCACATGTATCCTTCCTTTTATTTGATACGTGTACTTCCTAAGTATGACTTTAGAACATTACAATGAAAAACTTCCTTTCTTTATAATATATGCATACTGCATGTTACTTCCTTTCTTTATAATATATGTATACTGCATGTTATTAAATATTTACACTGTTACTAAATATGTTTACTATTTATTCACCTATTGTTCAACTATTACAATGAAAAAGTTTCAATTTTTAACACTACATCTTACGGACACTGCCTTTCTATATTCTTCAATACTAATATGAATTTGTAATATCTCTATTTTATTATTCACCAGCACAAGAAACTGATGATGACTCTAACTTGGACAATGATGACAACTCTCGCTTGGACAATGATGATAACTCTCCATAATTTTCAACTGCTAATCAACCATATTGTTATAATTGAGTTGTAATGAGGGGTGACAAAATGAATGGATTGGATGAATATGGATTGGATTGTTAACGGATGGATCAAAACAATTCATTAGTCCATTAACAATTCACTAAAATTTTCTTAAAATTATCCAATCAAATCCATCTGTTAAGAATAAAATTCATACAAACCATCTATTAACATATTTTTAATGGATGGATATTCTTCCATACAAAAACAAACTTCCTACAAAATAGAGCTATTTTAACATCCACTATTGAGATTGTTGATGAATTTCAGGTAAAATTCCGTTAACTATATTTTTTTTCTCACCACATCTTTTTATTTCTCCTTATGTTTTTTTGTTAATACACAACCTAATGGAATTTCAGGTGAATGTAATGAGTTTTTAAGTAGTGATTTTATTGATAGATCTGAGGCTAATGACAATGATGTTTACGAATATTTGACACCTGAATTTTTAAGTTGTTTGAAAACTTCTAGATTGTCGAATCATTCCATGAAACTGAAGATTGGGACTAAGGTAATGTTAATCTATAATTTGGATCAATCCAAAAGTTTGTGCAATGATACAAGATTAACCGTTACAAGACTAGCAAATCATGTCATCGAAGCAAAGATTATATCAAGTACAAATTCCAAAAACAATATTTACATTTCACGAATGTTTTGGTCACCTTCTCAATCACCATGGCCTTTCAAACTTATAAGAAGACAATTATCCATTATTGTCTCATTTGCAATGACAATAAACAAATCTCAAAAACAATCATTAGATTTTGTAGGTTTATATTTGTCTAAAGATATATTTAATCATGGTCAACTTTATGACGTAATGTCAAGAGTGAAGAGGAAAGATGGTTTAAAATTTTTGATTCATGACAAAAACAACAAACCATTAGCTCAAACAATCAATATAGTCCTTTTCCATAATATTTAGTAGGTATTTTTGTTTTTCATGTACTTTTACAATTAGCATGTTTCTTGAACAATGTTCTTTTCATATGACTTTGAAAAACATATACTTAACAGCTTTCTTAAGATCTTTGAAATGTTCAGTATTTAGCTCCAACCGTTTATACCTCATTCTTTTAAAGACTCCCATGTGCACGAGGTTTGTATGCAGATAAATCACTCTCAAGATTGTTGTACTGCAGAGGTGCTGAACACATCGTGGTTTCAGTACAAGCCATATTTTCATGAAATTTTGTCAATTAAAGGCTTGTAGGATGTTAAGTAGTTACACTTGTTTAAAAATTGTGTTATCATTATCTTTTATTATTGTTGTTATACTCTTCCTACTCAATTGTTGTTATTTTTAATTTTCATTACATTTTGACACTATTGATTCACTATTTACCATTCAATGAAAATAATTTTTAATTCATCGATTTTTATTCCTTTTTAATTAAACATGTCCCATTTAATATATAAATGAAGTTCCGGTAAAGACGCACGGATTTTTTATTAATTTTAATTTAAAAAATACCAAAAGTCATTTGATCCGGTTATCGTATACAACCAACTTCTGCCAAAATTTACAATTCACAAGCAAACATAACAACTGGCATCGATATTATCAGTCACATGAGCCATTTCATAATTAGAAAAACAAAAGGAAAAAAACAAACTAATACCCAAAAGAATAAAATCAAGATATAGTAATCATTCGTACCACTAAATTATTAACATTAAAACGTTTCACTTATCAATGTTTAAGCCTAGTTTAAAGCAAAGATTTCTAGAAAAAATAAATAATAATAGTCCTTGATTATTCTCAACCATTTCAAACTAATTTTCATCTTGGTAGTTGAAGATTAATCAATGCTTAATTAAAAAGATCTTGAACACCAAATTCGAAAAGATATTACACAAATTTTTAAAAAAATTATAGACAATTTTTTTCAGCTTACACTGTCTTCTCAATATAGAAAAATATGCCAAACAAAAATTAGAAGAAAATAGTGTTTAATAATAATTATAAAAAAAAAAACAGAATAATAATTATATTTATTTCTTCTCATCTTTCTTTTCCTCTTTCTTCTCTTCTTTCTTTTCTTCCTTTTTCTCTTCTTTTTTTTCTTCCTTTTTCTCTTCCTTTTTTTCTTCTTTTGCAGGTCCAACAGATACAATATCTACTTTTCCAACTTTCTTCAGTTTCTTCACAATTTTTACTGTGTCCATTGAACCAATCACGGTTAATTTCTGCTCTTTTATATCTGCAACTATTGAATCAACTCCTGTTCATAAAAAATCAACAATAGTTCAATAGATCAGCCCTTTATTATTTACATAATAACTTTTTCTCATAAATATTTATTCATGGTAATTTATTAAAATTTTATTTTTTAAAGAAAAATTGTGAATTACTTACCATAGATATCTGCAGCTGCTTCTATAGCTTTTTGCTTTGTTTTTTCATCAGTCATAGTTAACACCTTTAACACAACCTTCTGCTTAGAATCAATCCAATGATACAACGGAAAAAAATGGTAAAGAAATTGTTAAAATTAGTAAATAAATATATTTTAATTTTATAGCTAAACAAAGATGAGGATGTGCATAAAGTATACAAGAGAAAAGAAGAAAAAACTGAAGAAAATAAAATAGGATATGAAAGGAGAAATACCTGAGCCATGAGAGGAGGAATGAGAAGAGGGTGTGAAAAGAAGAAAGAAAATGAAGGGTAAGAGAGTTTTGATGAGAATTTTGTAGTAGATATATAGTGGTGGGTAAAGGGTTGTGAGGTTTTGGAAATGGTTTCTTTTATTATGTGCGTGAGACTGTGGGGGTCACATCAAAACACATGGACCTTTATAAATGCAATTTCTTTTTTCTTGCCACATTGTACAATTCATGAACAACATAAAGGACAACGTTAGGAGGGTTTGACATTGTGATGTCATCTTTGTGTGCCCATTTTGATTTTGATTTTTTCTTTCTTATTTTTATTGTTATATTTATCTTGTCATATTCGATTGAAATTCAATTATGATCTATGATAAATCCTTATCAATTTTAATTTTAAGATTGTTATGTAATGATAATGAACAAAAATAAAAATATGTTTAAAGAAGATGAATTTGAATTGCAGAGTATCTCTCTACCCATAACTGTGAAATTTTATTATCACTTTGCAACTACAAAACCTTGATTATCAAACTTGATTATTACAATAATAAGGGTTCCTCATTGTTGTGAAATTTTATTATCACTTTGCAACTACAAAACCTTGATTATCAAACTTGATTATTACAATAATAAGGGTTCCTCATTGTTTATATATTTAGATTAACTTGCATCTCAAGCTAAAGCTCAAAATATCTAATCTAATATTTCTAAATCAAATATAATCTTTCTAAAATAATGAATTACATATTTAACACACCACCTAATTCATTGTGTCTAAACTATCCACATTCATCATAGACCTTAACTTCTTGAACACTTCGATTGACACTCCCTTCATCGTGATGTCTGCAATCTGATTCTCAATTCTGCAGTGTTCCAAGTTCATCTTCCCTTCTGCTACATGTTCTCGTAGATAATGGAACCCCATTTCGATGTGCTTGCTTCAACCGTAGGATATTGGATTATTCGCCAAGTTGATAGCTGACATGCTGTCGATCTTCATGGTAATTGCTCCATGACTCTTCGTTGTGATCTCTTCGATCAGGTTCACCATTCAGGTTGTTTGACATGAACAAAGAGAAGTCATTATATATTCTACTTCGTATAACGATAATGCCACTACTGGCTCCTTTCTCGAACTCTACGCAACTAGTGCACCACCTAATGTAACACCCATTTTAATTATTTAGCCTTTCGGGTGTTATTTTATTTCGGCGTGTCTTTTGTGGAGATTATGTATTAAACCATAGCCTTTAATATTAATATAATATAATTGATAATGATACTAATTTGATAATTAATAGTAATATTATTATTATTGGTATTATTATTATTGGAATAAATAAATGAGGAATTAGTGATATAAGGGGGATTTTGGAAAAAGAAGGGAGATAGAACACGATAAAGAAGAGTGGGGAGAAAGAGTGAGGGGGAAGAACAAGGAAGGAAGAGAAACAAGGAAGAGCAATCAGATTCGTAGGAATTCTTCAACGATCGAAGCGATTAATCGAGGTAAGGGGGAGAAACTGATTGGGATTGGTAATTGCATGAATTTTTGGTAGAGGGGATTCCTTAACCCCATAGGGATTTGATGAACATGATTAGTATGTTGTTGTGTTTCTGATCATTGGTGTCATGGTGAACTTCTTGCATGTGGTTGTATAAGAATTGTTTGGATGGTTTGGGTGATTCTGAGTAGTTTACCGTTTTAGGTCGAAAATGATTTAATCGGTTGATTTGATGTTTTATCGGGTAAAATCTGGAATAAGTCGTGTATATTAGTCGTAGAATGTTAGGATAAGACTACTGGGACTGGTTTGCTGAGAATATGATGATTTTGTAGCTTCTGATGAATTTCTAAACTATGAGGGTTTTATGAAATCGCAGACGTTCGCCAACACCTTCGCTAGCGAGCTAGTAGCGAGCATTCGCTAGGGATTCGCTAGGCGAGTTGGATAGCGAATACTTCCAGTAGCCACTGTCTGCCTTCGCTAGCAGGTTCGCTAGGCGAGTGAGGCAGCGAGCGTTCGCTGAGGCCTCGCTGGACGAGTGAGCCAGCGAGTGTGACAGAAACGTGATTTTGTGTAGTTTTGCTTTGTGATTCGTTTTGTGGGATTCCTTGGGTTGTGATAGGTAGATAGATAGTGTTTAGTGGTGAGGAGTGTATACCTGGTGTTGAAAGGTGAAATTATGAAATATAGAATTTAATTGACATAATTAATTGGTGGGTAAGACATATATATGTAATATGTATATGATGCATAGTGAGGTGATCGGGAGGATCGTGTGTATTCGGTGTTCCAAACGTAAATTTCCCTATTATTTAATTTGATTAACATAATTGATTGGTGTGTGTATATATGTATGATGTATGGTGATGTGATCAATAATCGTGTGCACTTAGTGTGCTTGATGTTTGGTGTTGTGCATTTGGTGTTGTGCATATCATGGTGTCTTGGTGGGATGAATCATGTCTCAGGAGGAGCGTAAGTGATTCATCCGTACTCCTTTGTGGAGAATGGTGAGATGGATCGTTGCTCAGGAGGAGTGTATGCGATCCATCCGTACTCCTTTGTGGAGAATGGTGGGATGGATCGTTGCTTAGGAGGAGTGTATGCGATCCATCCGTACTCCTTTGTGGAGGATGGTGGGACGAATCGTTGCTCAGGAGGAGTGTATGCGATTCATCCGTACCGTATGCATGGTGTTGAGTTGCATTCTTGCATTACTATATGTTGTGTTGATGATTGGACAGTAGGTCGTGTTTGATGTTGGTGGGGTGATTACTTGTATATTTTACTGCCTTTTATTCATGTATCCTATTACCGATAATTTTGATCATGTTTTCTCACCCCTTTGTTGTTGTTGTGGTCTGTGCTTCTTTGGAAGTACAGATAATCCAGGTACATAGCTAGCTTGGATAGTGATGTGTGGGTCGAGTCTTAGGATGCTCTGATACGTAACACGGGACTTGGGTGTTTACTTTTATCATGATTAGATTTGTTGTATTCCTGTGGCATATCTTATTTTGGTGAATTCTCTTAATGAATATTTTATGTAAATTGGCGGATGGCCGAGAGTGATGTATTAATGTTTGTTTCCGCTGTATATTTTGAAAACCATATAATGAAGTGTTTTATTGAAATTCTGTGAATGTGATATCCCACTTATGGAGGGAAACTCTGATATTTATTTGATTTAATCATGTTTTATTTTAATTTGGGAAAGTGGGGTGTTACAAGTTGGTATCGGAGCAGGTCGGTCCGTCTGGCCAGTGTAGTAGTTGAGTCTGTCCGTAGGGTAGAGTTGGTGTGCCTTTTTAACCTAGTGTATTTATGGTTGAGCAGTATGGCAGGGAAGAATGGTGCTGCGTTGGTTGCTGCTATGCAAGCGATGGCGCAGGTGGTTGCTAATCAGAACCAAGTTGCGGGTGCGCAATTCAGAGATTTAGCACAATTTCAGAGTAACAAGCCACCGCCGTTTGAAGGAGGAATTTTGGATCCTGAAGCTGCACAGAAATGGCTGAAGGCAATTGAGAAAATTTTCAGGACGATGGGTTGTAATGATGAGCAAAAAGTGAGGTTCGATACTCACATGCTTGGTGGGACAAGAGTCGCCAAAGATTGGAGGCTGCAGGAAATGATATTACTTGGGATGTGGTTCGAACAGGTTTTCTGGAAAATTATTTTCTGGAAGATATACGAAGTGCTAAGGAGATAGAGTTTCTAGAGCTGAAGCAGGGTAATTTGACTGTAGCAGAGTATGCTGCTAAATTTGAAGGGTTGGTACAGTATTGTCCTCATTACAATACTGAAGCGGCGATGACTTCCAAGTGTTTGAAGTTTGAAAACGGGCTGCGTCCGGAAATTAAGATGGGGATCGCTTGTCAGAAGATCAGGAATTATCCTGAGCTGGTAAGCAGAAGCAAAATTTATGATAATGATAACCGGGCCAGGATTGCACACTATAAGGCTGTGAATGACCGTAAAGGTAAGCAGAGATTTGGTGGTACTCCTTACAGTGTTCCTGCTGATAAGGGAAAACATAAGGTTGCTGCTGATAAGAGGTCCAGAGAAGGGAAAGCATCTGCTGATTTGAAATGTTTCCGGTGTGGTAGCGCGGGGCATCGTGCTAATGATTGTTCTATTAAGGTGAAGAAGTGTTTCAAGTGTGGTAAGCCAGACCATGTGATGGCGAATTGCAGGGCTGTTATGCCTACCTGTTATAATTGTAGTGAGAAAGGTCATATCAGTACACATTGCGAGAAGCCGAAGAAGTCTCAGGCGCCTCAGGTCAGTGGTAAAGTATTTGCGGTAGTAGGAACTCAAGCTGCCAGTGAGGAGCGTTCTGTCAAAGGTACTTGTTATATCAATAATATTCCTTTGACTACTATGATTGATACGGGTGCAACCCACTCGTTCGTTTTTGTTGATTGTGTGAAGAGATTAGGATTGGTGTCGCCTGCTCTTGAGCAATGGGTGACTATTGAGACTCCCTCTATTGGTTCAGTGACTACTTCTTTAGTATGTTTGAAGTGTCCGCTGACTATTTTTGGTAGGGATTTTGGAGTGGATTTGATATGTCTGCCACTTGGTAAGCTGGATGTTATTCTGGGTATAAACTGGTTGGAGTTCAACCGAGTCTACATCGATTGTTTCCGGAAGGTGTTGTTGTTTCTTACCCCGAAAGAGGAATCGTTGGCGGATTCCTTGTCTAATAAGGAATTGAGGACCTTGTTAGAGGATGAAGCTAAATGTTTGCTTTATTTGCATCATTATCTGTTAACAGCAAGGAGTCAATGAAAGATTTGGTTGTGGTGAATGAATTTCCCGAAGTGTTCCCTGATGATATTACAGAATTACCTCCGATAAGAGAAGTTGAATTTAGCATTGATCTTGTCCTTGGTACAAGACCTATATCTATGGCGTCGTACATAATGTAGGCAGTGGAATTGGCTGAATTGAAATCTCAGATTGGAGAATTGTTGGATAGGAAGTTTATCAGACC